TGAATATCATCAGCATCTCCTGGAGGGAGAGGGAGAGCGGACAGTGGACTTTTGTTCTAATTTAGCCTTTCCTTTATTTGGGACACAGGGTCAGTGAAGCTAGAGGAAGAGAAGTTATTGATGCTTCTGTGATTTTCTGCCAGGCTTACAGAACAACTGTGTCTCAAAGATGGGCATGTCTCCTGTTTTTTGTTTTATTTTGTTTTATTTTTAAAGCCTGGAATGAAGATTGTTATTCTTGAGGGTGATAACAGGTTTAGTTTCTGTCTCTGTCACTAGTCACTGGTCTCTCCAATGAAATATATGTAAAGCTTTCAGCACTGTGGCTGGCACCAAGCAAACAATAAATGATAGATGCCAGCTTACAGTTGCCACCTTCTCATAGAAGGCCTCCTTCCTCATTCAGCTTTTTGCTTGTTCTCCAGAGAATCACATTTTGGAAGATGTGAACAAATGTGTCATTGCTCTCCAGGAGAAGGATGTGGATGGCCTGGACCGCACAGCTGGTGCAATTCGAGGCCGGGCAGCCCGGGTCATTCACGTAGTCACCTCAGAGATGGACAACTATGAGCCTGGAGTCTACACAGAGAAGGTTCTGGAAGCCACTAAGCTTCTCTCCAACACAGGTACGGGAACTCTAGCTTTTCAGTGCTCGCACACACTGCAACCTGAGTAGGGCAGGCCACCCGATTAGCCCAGCCCTGTGGTGAGGAAGGAGGAGTCGGGAACTCAGATTTGGTCTCATGGCACATTGGGCTCCTGAGAAGTTGGTCATAGCCAAATTCAGGCCTCACAAGCATATTTTCTTCATGTGTATCTCATGAGTAATCATGGGACTAATTCTAAACACACTATTTAAGATGAATTTCTGAGTTTAACCTCAGGTTAAACTATTAACCTGAGGTCCTATTCTTAAGCAAGGCTTCAAGTTAGTCTCACTTCCAAGTTCTCAACCATCCAATCCCTCAACCATCCAATCCCTCTGTTGCAGAGAAAAAGATGATTTGAGTTGTTGAGTTGTTGTAAAATACTGCATTTATTTCAACCATAAATACTCCTCACATAGATAGAAGCAGAGGCTCTTCATCATAAGCCTCACCTCTTTCTGTCTAGCTGAGTGATTCAGGGAGGGTCAGGGGAATGATGCTGCCTGCATACCAGGACATCTGCTGTGCCCCTTTCTCCACAGTCATGCCACGTTTTACTGAGCAAGTAGAGGCGGCCGTGGAAGCCCTCAGCTCGGACCCTGCCCAGCCAATGGATGAGAATGAGTTTATCGATGCCTCCCGCCTGGTATATGATGGTATCCGGGACATCAGGAAAGCAGTGCTGATGATAAGGGTGAGTAACTGCATTTCAGACTTAACAGCTTCTTTCTTATCATTTGCTAAACTTGAGCAATGCGTCATTCTAGAACTCGGCAGATGCGGTAGCAGTATATTAAAACCATGAATCTAAAATCTGTTAGAATGAGATATATTTAATTATGTTGTCTAAAATGACTGTTAGTTGCAAGTTAGAGCCCAAACTTGGGCCAAGAAGAGGAGCTAGCCTGAGTTGACGATTTAATTTAGGATAAACAGTCTCTACAACATGAGGCTTCAGTTTGAGTTAGGCAGGAAATTATAGAAAATAATGGTTCTCAAGCTAGTATCAGAGAAGGAAGTCTTTTCGTAATGCAGATTCAAGTTACTGTTCACATGGAGTGCCCCTCTCTTCGGAGAGGCTGCAGGCAGACAGGATGATGGAACCCCAGGGTGTTGCGGGGAGAAGTGGCCCCAGGTGATGCTCCTAGGCTCATGGCCAAGTGCTGAACCCCTTTCCCCATAGCCAGAATGCCTGGAGGGCCTGTAGCAAGGGCAGAGGAGAAACGGGCCTCTGCGGCATCTGTGGTTGAGCTCCCGGCTTACCGTCCTGCTCTCTGACACTATTCCTGTCTTCATTCAAGAATTATCCTTCCAGCCCCTGGGCATCTCAGTTTCTTGATGTCTTGTCCTCCTCCACCTCAGCCTCGTGGCCATAGCCGTACCTCAGCTTTTGTCACTGCCTGCCATTGTCTTTGTCATTCCCAGCAGCCCGGTTCTATTGTTGAGGTTGCGCCCTTGAGTCCTGCAACTCCCAGCGAGCCTTTTGAGTCCACTGTGGGGTCTTCAGTCAGTTGGTCCTCCCTGTTTGACACTCACTCAGCCCCTTGTGTCCTTGGTTCAGTCTTTTTTCAGCTTTGAGTCCATAGTTGAATATTCTCACTCCTCTGCCCAGCTGTTTCCTTACACTTGCCTTGCAAGGTGCAGTCTTAGCAAGATCCTGCTCTCCTGAGCACAGTGCAGATGGCCACAGCCACGCCGACGGAGCCGCAGAAGCCGCGGCCATTTGTGGGCCCTTGCTGCCCTGCAACAGGTGCCCGTCCACCCACCCACACCTGTGCCCCTGTGCTATTTGGCCCTCTTGCCGATTTCATTGAGGATACTGAGGCAGTTAGTACGGCCACCCCGCTGCATCCATGCCTGTGTGCTCTGCCTTCCTCCTAGGACTATGGGCATTGCTGTTGGTGCTTCTGGCCGAGGCCGTCCCTTGCATGTCCTTGTACTGGGGTCCCAGCTTCTTCACCCCCTGCCTTCTGTACCTTTCCCCAAGCCTATGATGATTTCTCCCATTTTTAAGGGGGAAAAAATCTCTTGACCCACACCCCTACTCAGTCTCCTTGGCTGGTTTCTCCCCATCTCCTCAGCCTGTGAAACATGGGTGTGGCCTGCTGGGAAGTCCTTGGCCTCTTCAGAGTCCTGTCTAGAGGCCGACTCTCCTAAGTTCCACACTTGCCTGTGCACCTTGCCTCCTCCCTCTCACTTGCTCCACCCAGGCAGCACATGTTGATAGTGACTCCGTCTTCCCTTGCTCATGCGCAGACCTCGGATCTTTTATTTCCCTTTTGTCCCATACCCCACATCCGCTTTATCTGTGAATTCTTTTGGCTCTCCCTTCACAGTAGAGAACCTGAACATGTTCTCACCCTCGTCCAAGCCGCCAGCACCTCTCACCCGGGTTCATGCAGGTGCCACTCAGCTGGTTCCCCGTTCCAATCCTGGGTGCCTACAGTCTCATGAGCCACAGGGCAGCCAGAGCGATTTCTCTAAGCTTCAGTCAGATCATGCTATCCTCTGTGCCATCCTCTCTACAGGCAGCCACGTCATTCTTTATGCTGGCCTACAAGGCTTTCTAGGACTAGAACCTGTCACTTCTCCAACCTCATCTCCTGCTGATCTCCCCTTGTGCTCATGGGGTTCCAGGCAAGCCGGTGACATAGGGGCAGTGAGCTAAGCCCCCCTTCTGTGGCCTCCTTGCTATTCACGCAGTTCCCTGGGCCAACGCCCCTTCCCCACAGCCTCAATGCTGCCGCCCGCCCCGCCTACCCCCTCCTTGAGAGCACCTTCTCATCAGACTTTTCCTAACACCCGCATGGAGTTAAAACCTCGCTTTATTCCTCTCTGCTTTCTTTATACACTGGCCACTTTTGATGTGTCATATAATTCATTTGCTTACTTTGTTGCCATTTCTTCCATTAGAATAGGCATGAGAGGAATTTTTATCTGTCTGTCACTTTGTATCTCTAGGGCCCAGAATGCTTGGCAGAGAGAGAATGAATGAATGAATGAATGAATGAATGAATGAGAGTACTCGGTATTCTTGGCAAGAACGGTTCTTGGGTCTGCGATGGGGTCCTGGGAAGGCAGAGATGATGTTAGGAGGTGGTCCTTTGAAAAGCCCCTTAACTGATTGCATGCCAGTCCCGAAGGCATGTGTGACTGCAGTGTTAAAACCGTCAGTGCTGGCATTGTGTTTTGTGTCACCAAGTCCGTCGGCCTCCAGGACCTCACGCGGACATGCTGTCTGGTGCCACCTGAGTGAGCATCCACTCCTTACCTCATCAAGGGACAGGCCCAGCCTTTGCGCAGCACGCTCTTGGTGGCTCCGGAATGTTTCTTGCATATCTTCTTGTTTGAACCTCACAGCAAGTCCTTGGGCTGCGCTTGGACTAGATCCTGGTACAGATGAGGGACTCGCCTCACTGCCCTCCTGTCACAGGCCAGCCGGCTGGGCCGAGCGCCAACCCCAGCTGTTCTGCCTGCTGCCCCCTTACTGATAACTGCCAGAGGACAACATTATGTTTCAAGTCAGTAGCTAATCATGAGAGGCTGGTAGTTGGTACAAAATAAGAATTTTATTTCATAATTAAAGCAAAGAGCTAGGACGAGTAATCAGTCCCTTGGGTATTTACTCAGCCCTTACCTGTCATATTCTCCCTTCTTTTCTTTTGATGAAAGTCAAAAGAATACTTTAAAATTGCCTATTTTTACTCCTCCAAGCAGCCTTGGTACCCTAACAGAAGGCTCAGTTATTTAATTTTCTTTTTGTCATAAAGTAGGAAAGTTAAACAAATCTGCTTAATACTATACAAAACACCTCTATTTTTAAGTCAGTACCTTTTCTATCCAGGACAGTTCTCATCTTTGTCTTTAAAATACAGGTGTTGGGGAAGTAAATTAGGAAGTAAAAACCTTATGTCGCCGGGCACGGTGGTTCACGCCTGTAATCCCACCCAGCATTTTGGGAGCCCAAGGCAGGGGTGGATCACCTGAGGTCAGAAGTTCAAGAGCAGCCTGGCCAGCATGGTGGAATCCCGTCTCTACTAAAAATACAAAAATTAGCCGGACGTGGTGGCGTGTTGCCTCTAATCCCAGCCACTCGGAGGCTGAGGCAGGTGAATCACTTGAACCCGGGAGATGGAGGTTGCATTGATTCCAAGATCACGCCACTGCACTCCAGCCTGGGTGACAGAGCGAGACTCTGTCTCAAAGGAAAAAAAACAACCTTATGTCTTATAAAGAAATAGTGAATTGACTCAGTGATAGCCATTGAGCCCCACACACAGTGAAGCCAGCGCAGGCCTGCTGTGGGCCAGGCAGCCCAGCGCGTGCAGCAGTGAAGCAGAGGCTCGAGACAAATGCTGAGTGATTGTGACTTTATTCATCATACTGTTCAGAACACTGCACATTAAAATCCAGAATTCTGGGCCTCCGTGCACCTGGCCAAGAGGCTCAGGGTGGCTGGGGGCTGGTGGCCTGTGACCCAGAGATGTGTCTGACTTGTGATCTCTGTCTTGGTGGCAGACCCCTGAGGAGTTGGATGACTCTGACTTTGAGACAGAAGATTTCGATGTCAGAAGTAGGACAAGCGTCCAGACAGAAGACGATCAGCTGATAGCTGGCCAGAGTGCCCGGGTAAGGAAGCGCTCTGTGGGGCAGTTCAGCTTGTGCTGCCACCTTCCCTGTCCCCTTTCTTGTTTCCAGGAAAACACCCTCAGTATTCAGAACACCATTTCTCTCTCTCTGGCAGTAGACTGAAGTTAAACTAAGTTGTGGCACCTGCTAGTCACTTGTAGCCTCCTCAGCTAGAGACAGACCAGGTCCTGGGCCTCCTCTGCAGTGCCCTGGGGCTTTGGTTTACGATAGAGCCCTGGGTCAGGAAAGGGCTGAAATTTAGTCAATGCAGTGTTTGTTGAAAGGATCGTGAAATTTGAAAAAGATTGCTGCCTTTAGCCATCTCAGTGATGCCATGGGTATGAACTATTTAATTATTCATGGGTTTAAAAAAATAACAGTGGTACATTCAAGAAAGCCAGTCAGAGCCATTGCATTCATTTGAGTCATTAAATCTTCAATCAATAGCATTTATGTTTTGGGGAGGATGCCAAGAAATATTTCTAAGGAGTCTTTGATTTCACTCCTTGGAAATCTGTCATGAACAGCGAGCACATCGCTGCCTTATGTCCTGCTCCGTCATGAGCACTTTGGGAAGCTGAGAGGGAGGAGCTTCAGCCGCAGGTCTGTGGGCTGGAGGTGGGCAGCAGGCCTCCAGGTGCTGCTCGAGTATGGCCTTAGTGCTCAGCCCTCTTTCTTCAGGTGTACATTCTGAAGCCACTTTCAGTTCACCTTGAATAGCTGGAAATGTCCACCAGGGAAAGGGTTCCACACTTTCATCAACCCTTTCTCTCATTTCTTGTCTTATATTAAAGAATTAAAAAGCAGGTTCTGTCCCTGCACAGTTGTGATTCCAAAGCTTCCGCATTAGCCTTCCACCCCTCGCTGTTTGCTTCCACACTAAAACTTGTGCTCGAAAGTGGGTCGGAAATTCAGGCTGCTGTAAGTGTCTGCAAAAAATGAGAGAAATAGCCCTTTAGGCAAAATGAAATCTGTTAAAGCATTATCCTACCTATGCCATAGATTGCCTGTTGGAAATATTCTTGGCTAATGCACTCTGAGAACTTCATATTCTTTTTATGTAAGAGCTCTTTGTGCTTCTGATCACAGGCGATCATGGCTCAGCTTCCCCAGGAGCAAAAAGCGAAGATTGCGGAACAGGTGGCCAGCTTCCAGGAAGAAAAGAGCAAGCTGGATGCTGAAGTGTCCAAATGGGATGACAGTGGCAATGACATCATTGTGCTGGCCAAGCAGATGTGCATGATTATGATGGAGATGACTGACTTCACCCGGTGAGCAGCACCCTGGCCCCACCAGGCTGCACAGGGGCCACTTTCTTTAGGTCACCTGCACAGCGGCTTAGACAGCCCAGGCCATGGGGCTTTGTGGACATCTGTTTTCTACTCATCTCCAACTGTGAGGGGCTTCGCATACAATGATCCTTATTCTCTCTTCTCAGAGGTAAAGGACCACTCAAAAATACATCAGATGTCATCAGTGCTGCCAAGAAAATTGCTGAGGCAGGATCCAGGATGGACAGGCTTGGCCGCACCATCGCAAATCACGTAAGTGACAGACCTGCCAGGTGGGTCTCCAAGCTCCTTCTGGGACTCAGGCAGCCCAGCCTGGTCCATTCAGGGTAAGTTTCATGGGCCACAGCACTTTTGCCACCCATCTCTAAAAATGGTTCTTATTAATCCCAGCATAGATTCGTAAGGATTCTCTAGAGCAGATGTGGATGTCCTGGAATCTTCCGTCACTTGTAGCCAAATTAACCTCTGCTGTTGTCTATTATGTCTCAGTTCCCTCTCTGGGCAGGGGCTGAGGGCAGCCAGAAGCCATGTGGCCAGTGCTGTGGAAGGATGGTGTGCCCAGATGGGGCCAGGTTTCTTCATCCTCAGCACTGTGGCTCTTAGTCACCCTGCCGTCATCCCCCTATTCCCTCACACTGTGATAGGTACAAAAATATGGTTCATATCACCTGGAAATGTACAATATGTTTGATTTGGTGTTTTAAGCCTGATCAAGAGAGGCTCTTTCTCAGTTATAGTTTTTCTCTGTAGTTAACAAACCTCCCCACCATCTTCCCTGAAATATCAAAACTCTCAGCCTCATCTAGGCCACAGGATGTGTGAGACGTCCCTCTTTACTCAAGCCAAAGATTGTAAAGGCATCCTTGACTCCCACACAATCGGTAATAGGGCCTATTGCTTCCATTAGCCAAATGTATCTCAACACAAACCAGTCTTGTCCTGTCTGCAGAGCTCCATAGCCACTTGGACTACTGCGGCTACTCCTGATTTCCTATTCTTTCCTCTCTCCACTTCCTTCTGCATCCAGCTGCCAATACTGTCATCTGAAAATGCAAATCACATGGCTGCCCTGCTTCCATGACTACTTAGAATACAGCTCATCTCCAGTATGGTCTGCAGGGTTTCAGTTCATACCACTCTCTGTGGTGTACTTTGCTTGCTATGAACACTTAAGAGGTGCTCTGTTTCTTCCTTTGGGTAAAGCTTTCTAGGCTGGTCCTAATCTGGGAGCCTCTAAAACCCTGAGATATGGGGGGAGACAGGAACTGGGCAGGGGCCACCCTTTTCTCTTTGACCATCCCTGACTGCTTTTTTTCTTGCTTTCTTTACTCATTTATCCTCCACCTCAGCCTGCAGTGAGTGGCTTTTGTCATCAGGCCTTAATAACGCAAAGTGCATCGGAGCAGAAGAGCTATTTGTTTACTTAGCTCAAAACATCTGGACTTTTCTCCATAGCCAGGCTCCTACTTGCTGAGCCGGCTTGTTCTCACCTTGAGGGGCACAGGCCTCCACCCTGCCATGTGGGGTGAGGGGATCCTTGGCCAGAGTGGTTTCCCTGCTGTCACAGAAGGGAAGTCAGCGGGAGGCTCAGAAGGCCTTGGCTGTACAACCAGTGCCGTGCGGCACAGCCAGGGTCCCATGAACGACTTCCATCAGATCACCTGCCTCCATCCCCAAGCAGAGTGTAGGCAAGGGCTGTGACTGCCTCAGGTAATTGGGTGATTTTGCTCCAGCAAGAGGACAGGAAGCATGTGAGTGCCACCCTGAACCTTTAAGAAACACCCATGGGGTGGGAGGTGCTTGGTCCAGGCCAGGGTGCTCGGTGCTAAGCGTGCTCTCCCTTCAGTGCCCGGACTCGGCTTGCAAGCAGGACCTGCTGGCCTACCTGCAACGCATCGCCCTCTACTGCCACCAGCTCAACATCTGCAGCAAGGTCAAGGCCGAGGTGCAGAATCTCGGCGGGGAGCTCGTTGTCTCTGGGGTAAGCATTAGCTGAGAAAAAAAGAGGGCCAGTGGGAACGTGCTGACCCTTGTCAGAAATGAAAGTCACTTCCTATCCACATACACACCTGCCCTGGGAAAGTGTGCTGAGCAGAAACCCCAAGTCCTGTCCCAGCCTCCGGAGACCAAGGTCTGTCCATCATCTGTTCCCTGTAGAACTGTGACACGTGTGGGCCACTGCAAGGGCTGAAAGGCTGGCCTCCTCCCCTTTGCTGGCCACTCACTGGGAACAAATTTTTAAAAATCTTCCTTGGGACCGGGCGTGGTGGCAGGTGCTTGTAAGTCCCAGCTACTTGGGAGGCTGAGACACAAGAATTGCTTAAGCCTGGGAGACAGAGGTTGCAGTGAGCCGAGATGGCACCACTGCACTCCAGTCTGGGTGACAGGGCAAGACTCTGTCTCAAAATAAAACAAAACTTCCTTTTCTTCCCCCAGAGAGGAATTAAGAGTAGACATAGATAGGATGCTTTCTCGAAAGCCCTTCACCCCTCAGAGCGCTTGGGTAGCATCTCTTTCTTTTTATCAGGTCACAGTTCTGAGGCCTTTCTCACCTAGGGCAGGGGAAAGAGGTTTGCTGAGTGGACTGGGGTCCAGCGAGCCTCCGTGGCTTCTTTTAATCCCATTAAATTTCCTTTAAAAGAAACACTTCTTATATTGAACATATTGAGACCATTTGCTCATCTGCTTTGCCATAAACGTCCCTGTCTCGATTCCTGCTTCTCCTCCCCCACGTACTTATAGCTCTGGGATCACTCACAGTGGCTTCCGCTTTGAGTGAATAAACACTTGCTGGGGGGTGGGGGCGAGCAAAGCGAGGCTGCCTCATGTCTTCTTCAAAGGGTCTGAGGGCAGGCGCTTCCAGGCTATTTAGGTAAGAGCAACTGTTGAGGGTGTTCCTCAGCAACAGGCTGCTGCCCAATCCTCTGCCACCTGCCCAGGCCCTGGTCTTGCAGAGGAGTAGGGGGCCCCCCTTCAGGCACAGCCCACCTGTGTCCACGATGCTGGAGGTCAGGCCTGTGCTTCTCACCACCCTTGTCTGCCTTGTAGGTGGACAGCGCCATGTCCCTGATCCAGGCAGCCAAGAACTTGATGAATGCTGTGGTGCAGACAGTGAAAGCATCCTACGTCGCCTCTACCAAATACCAAAAGTCGCAGGGTATGGCTTCCCTCAACCTTCCTGCTGTGTCATGGAAGATGAAGGCACCAGAGAAAAAGCCCTTGGTGAAGAGAGAGAAACAGGATGAGACGCAGACCAAGATTAAACGGGCATCTCAGAAGAAGCATGTGAACCCGGTGCAGGCCCTCAGCGAGTTCAAAGCCATGGACAGTATCTAAGTCTGCCCAGGCCAGCTGCCCCCACCCCTCAGGGCTCCTGAAGATCAGTCACTGTTTGTCACTCAAATGAATTTGCTAAATACTACACTGATGTCAGATTCCACAGGGAAATGGGCAGACTGTGAACCAGTCCAGGTGGTGAATTTTCCAAGAACATAGTTTAAGTTGATTAAAAATGCTTTTAGAATGCAGGAGCCTACTTCTAGCTGTATTTTTTTATATGCTTAAATAAAAGTAAAAATTCCATAACCAAAGAGAATCCCACATTAGCTTGTTAGTAATGCTTTGAGCAAGCCGAGATGCCCATTCTCTTAGTGAGGGCGGCATTAGGGTTTAAGAGAAGGGAATTTGGCTCAACCTCAGTTGAGAGGGTGCAGTCCAGACAGCTTGACTGCTTTTAAATGACCAAAGATGACCTGTGGTAAGCAACCTGGGCATCTCAGGAAGCAGTCCCTGGAGAAGGAATGTTCTCAGAAAGGTCTTTAGAGGAACAAACTCAGTAAAACGTAATGTTTCATGAAGAAAACTGATTACTCTCTTTATGACATGAAATGAGAATTTAAATGCATGGTTACAATTACTAATGTACGCTGCTGCAGGTCATTAATAAAGTTGCTTTTTTTAGGCTACAGTGTCGTAATCAGAACACACTTTTCTCTTTCTTCCAGCTTCAAATGCAAATTCATCACTGGGCTCACTTCTAATAATTGCAGTGTTTCCCACCTTGGGCTTGCAGCAGAAAAACCTGACAAAATAGTGTGTGCTAAGGCAGTAATTTAGACTTTACCTTATTTGTGATTACTATAGTGATTACTGTAACTACAAGGCATAACTTACCATCTTATATAAATTTTACAAATTTTGAATGTTTTTTACACTAACTTTTCCCAATAAAGTCCACTATGAAACCACAACATCCAAGAGGCCAAAGTCGTCATCTCTTCCTTCAAGTGCTCACAGCATCTGTGGTGCTCTGGGCCCTCCCGGTGTCCCTCTCTTCCAGGATGGGGATGCCCGGAAGGGAGGCTGTGGCTCTAGGCTGCACGGCTCATGCCAGCCCATCAGGGAGGGCCATGCCCCTTGTCCTATTGAGTGCCCCACCCTGCACCCCCACCTTGGGAGTTGACATGTCCATTCCTTGAGGTTCATGTCAACCTCGGAGGCATCCCGTCTTCATTATAAATGTCCCCTCTCCTGTGTCCTTTCTGTCAGCACACACACACCTATGATGATAGCGGCCTTCGAGATGAAAACCCCTGAACCCCATGATCCTTTCTCACTTCCAACCGGCTGTCGCCTTGCTCCCTCCACCTCCCCTCGTCAGGGCGACTGCCTTCCACTGCCAGTGACACTGGCAATGGTCTTCAGACCTCATCATGCAAGCTGCCTGGGGGCGTGGCGGGGAGGAGGAGGAGGACAAGGACTCCTGAATGCTGCTAACTCGGCTTCCAGGACACCCCACGCAGGTTCTGCCTGCCTTACTGGGGGCTCCTCCTTTCCTGGGGCTGAGAGGTTGTGTCTGTGCCCACCCTCCTGAGCTCAGGCAGAATCTCACATGTAAAGACATACAAATGCCGACTTCTCCCCAGAGCCTGCCTTTTATAACTGACTGCCGCCTCATGCTCCATTCGGATGTCTAATGAATCTCAGACTTGACCTGTCCAAACTGCTTGCCACCTACTCCCCACCGCCCATCCCCATACCCTCCATACCGGTTTCCCCACGTCACTGCCCTTTCCCTCCTCCCTCTTGCCAAATGCCTAAAAATCAAAATTCTTAGGTGGGTCTATAGTGCAATGGGCTTCTAGTGACAAGAAATCAAAATTCTGACCTTTAAAACGTATGGATAATTTACCTGTCATCGCCTGGCCTAAGCCATCCTGCTGTTACTGCTGTGTAGCAAGTTGCAGCTAAAGCGACCTCGCATGGCTCCTGAAGGTCAAGAATCTGGGAGCAGCTCAGCTGGATGGTTCTGACTTGGGGTCTCATGAAGTGGCCAAGATGCCAGCTAAGGCTGCCGTCTCTGAGGGCTTGACGTGGCGAGGATTTGCTTCCAGGCTCACTTGCGTGGCTATTGACAGAAGGCCTCAGTTCCACGCCGCACGGCGCGTTCCACAGGCAGCTCACAGCTTGGTGGTAGCTGGCTTCCCCAGAGCAGTGATCTGCGAGTGGCGGCCAGATGGAAGCCACGGTGTTCCCTTAAAACCTAATATGGAGAGTGATTCCCCATCACGTCTGTATTCTGCAGGACACACAGACCAAGGCTGGTCCACTGTGGAAGGAAAGGACGAGGTTGCCAGTGCCCGGCGGTGGGGGCCACAGCCAGCCTCCCTGCCAGTGTCTGCCACAGCCAAGTAGCCCCTTAAGACAGGTTAGCTCAGGTCATTCCGACCTCAGACCTTCCAGCGGCTTCCATGTCCCTCGGTAAAAGCCAGAGTCTTAAAGGCCTCTTGCTGGCTCTGGCCTCTTCTCTCACCATTCTCTGCCATCCTGCATCTGTCCCTGGTGTCCCTGAAGTTCTTGAACATGCCGAGCACATCCTGCCTCAGCCTTCACGCCTATGGTTCCTGGCCTGGAATGCACTTGCCCCTAGGACACCCTGTGCTGGTTTTAGCATTTCCTTCCTGTCTCATCAAGTCACCTTACCAAAAAGGACTCCGACAGGCCAAGTGTGGTGGCTCATGCCTGTAGACCCAGCACTTGGGAAGGCTGAGGTGGGAGGATCGCTTGAGCCCAGGAGTTCGGGACCTGCCTGGGCAACATGGCAAAACCTTGTCTCTCTTAAAAAGCAAAACAAAAAAAGACCATCCGTTTATGTATCTCTTAAAGTTTTGCCTTGTGCCACAATGAGAAAGCAGCCCTCACTGGACTGACCTTTGGGAAACAGCCAGTGTTGGCTCTGCTCATCCTCCTCAGAGGCACAGGGCCTGGCATGTGCTTGATAGACAGTAGTTGACCAATGAGGACCATTATTGATTTAAACCAACCCGTCAAAGTGTTGGAAAACGCTGGCAAATGAGAAGGTGCTAGGGGCCTGGAGAGCCAAGTCTGAGGTGCAGAGACCCTGTCCCGAAGTCCTGACCCCTCCTCTCACCTCACAGACCACGACAGAACTGGGCCAAGCAGGAGGGGACCTGCCTCTGCGTGCGTGCGGGGCCTCTGGGGCCTCCTGCAGCCTCCGGTGTGCTCACTCCTGCCCCTGTGCCATCTGCAAAGGGGACTGCCTCCCCTCTGCATCCGGAGATTTCTCATCCAGGATGGGCCCCTGCTCTCAGCAGTCCTGTTGATGCCTCTCCAGAGGAAGGTTGGGGGAGCAGAGCCAAGGACCAAAGCCGAGTCCCAGATCCCTCCACCCCACTGTGCCTCCCGAGCCTGTCACCGTGCCTTGGTGGCCCCTCAGACCTGCTCCCTACTCCCTGCATTCAGCACACAGCTCCTGCTCTCCTGTGGCTAGCGGCACCCACGCCTCTCCCAGGATGGCTCTGTTCTGGGTCCCTGCCTGCTCAGCGTCCTGCAGGGGTTCCCGTGGCTCCTGTGCAACACCTTCAAAGAACACAGTTCACTCTGCAGCCTTCATCCTCACAGCTTCCAGCCCCAACCTCTTCCACCCTTCTCCCAGGACAAGGCCACCTCCCCACGGAAGCAAGAGAGAAGGAGCTGCCATGTGCTGGGCACTTCAGAGCCTGTGTCTAGCCTTTACCCTCGTCACCCCATTTCGTCTGTGCAACCGAAGGTGTCAGGGCCATTGCTGCACCTCCAGTTGCACAGCTGAGGAAGTGACTTGGGGAGGTGAAGTCACATGGCAGCAAGTGGCCGGCTCCACCACCTGGCTTCGAGACGCACTTCCTCGAGGGCCCCCAGCTTTGGGCCATCCCTCCTGAGCCCTCTGAGTAACAGTGATGCCAGTGTCCACTCCCTTCCTGTCACACCTTCTCTAGATTCCCACGGTTCCCTGCCCTTAACCAATGCGTGTCCCTCATCTCCTTTACCAGTTCCTTCTCCTCATGGCCCCTGACGTTGAGTTGCTCCAGTGCTCCCATCTGGTTCCTCCATGTTCAGTGACGCCCAGCAGGGGCTTGCTGGTCAATGTTGAGCCACCGGCTCTCCAGGGCCAGGCCGGGGCGGATGCGAACAGACGCACGTTTGTGCATTTAGAACACACTGGACCGCTATAAAGGAATTGCAGCACACCGTTCACAAAAGGAGACGTACAGGACTCTAACTGGGAAGCCCAGCCAGCCAACTGATTCCCACAGAAGGCTTTCATTGATTTTTGCCAGACTCTTGCATCCACAGCCAACCTATGGCTGTAACTGATAAATGAGACTAGTTCCGACAAGAATGCTGCTTGATATTTGTGTTTACCTTAAGGAATAAATGAAAGTGAAATAACAAAAACCTATGTTGGACTTTCACTTTGTCAGTGAGTGATTTCTTTGCTGAGTCAGATAATAGTTGTTAAATACTTTGACAATTTCTTCCATTTTTTTTGTGCTACTGACGATGTAACTGCTATAGATAAGACACATTTACATTTAATTGGCATTATTAACATTTTCTTTATCACTTTAAGTCTCCACAATCAACAGAACAAATTCACCTTTGATCTGTAGCGTTTCCCAATTTCCATGGGTAAATGCTCCCACCACATCAGATTTCGAGCCATGGGCTGGCAGTGCTAAAACGCGAAGTTGGAGGGAAGCCCAGGAGCATGCCGTGATGTGTCCTTCTACCACCCAGACGATAGGACCGATTGTGGTAAAATGTCATTACAAAAGGATGAGCTGTTATAATAACTTAGGTGAAAATTTACACATAGTGA